TACTATCTGTAAATATATAAACGGCTTGCTGTATATTATATTACAAATGTAAATTCGTCTCTGTAATCCAAAAACACACTTTGGTAGACGTATCTTACAGCAATTTCTGGTTAGCAAATTATCTTTTATTTTTCATTGGACTACAAATATATTTCGGGTTGGTATAATGTACCCCAACCCCTCCTCAGTGCTAATTCAAATAAAACAAAAAATATTAAAACAGGACAATGTTATATTATATGAAACAAACCAAATCACAGAAAACACTTACATTTTCTCATTATGTAAATTATAAAAATTGTTTCTTTTTTATTTCACAAATTAGGGAGTGGGAGGACAAACCATCCTCATCCTTAATCTATATTTTAACCTAAATTGTGTATTTCATATTAATATACATCTAAAATTCAACAACTATAACTTCCAACAAACAAACTTTTATAATACTCACAATTATTTAAAATTCTTTACACGTAGGTGTATAACAGACGTAGTACAAAATTGTTAGCAAAAACCTAATTTACGTATGTAAAAACTTTTTGATACACAAACAATATCTTCTTTATACCAGTATCAGGATTACAATGAAAAAGTTCTTTTACAAATAATTTTACCATGTTTAAACATAATTATAACATTTTAACTTGTTTTAGCGCCATCTATTAATGTATACCAGCGGCAATCAATTCGCATACCTTCTGAGAGATTTATTAAATTATTTTTTTGTTTCCTTATTTCTAAATGTTTTTTAAATTTTCTTTTATAAACATCTCTTTCAAAATGCAGAATTTTTATATTATTTCGGTTAATTTTACAATTATTGTTATTTGTATGATCATACCACGGGGAGTTATCGTACTTCAATCTAATTGCCGCTTCATGTTCTTTTATTCTAACATCTAACATGCTCCCTGTTTCACATATGTACATATATGGATTTTGACAATCACATTCTAACCTGTATATAATACCAGCTTTTTTTAGGCAATCTATATTATTAATACTACTTTTATTAATGTATTTATATATATTCTGTGAAATTTTATTGGTCAAAGATGGGGCCAAACAAATGTTATAATTTTTAAGGCTATTACTACAATAATCAAAAATATTTTTAATATATGGAAATCTTTTATATGTTTTTCATTTTAAACTTCGTATTATATGTTTTTTAAGTAACATGTTTTCCATTTAGTAAGAATAAACTTTGGGTAATCATTCATTATAACTTTTATTTCTAAATCTTTAAGTTTAATATTTTTATTATGATCATCAGTTATTCGTGTATACAGTAATACCTCGACTTACGCGAACCCGGAGTTACGCGATTTTCAAATCTCGTTGATTCGTCTTTTGTTTGAGCGCCACGCAATTCTTGATTATTCACTCCCCCCCATATGGGTTCATTTTAT